GATCAGTGTCAATGTTGTACCCTGCTTGAGATAGTGGGTCAGTGTCAATGTTGTACCCTGCTTGAGATAGTGGGTCAGTGTCAATGTTGTACCCTGATTGGGATAGTGGGTCAGTGTCAATGTTGTACCCTGATTGGGATAGTGGGTCAGTGTCAATGTTGTACCCTGCTTGAGATAGTGGGTCAGTGTCAATGTTGTACCCTGATTGGGATAGTGGGTAAGTGTAAATGTTGTACCCTGCTTGAAATAGTGGGTCAGTGTCAATGTTGTACCCTGATTGGGATAGTGGGTCAGTGTCAATGGTGTACCCTGATTGGGATAGTGGGTCAGTGTCAATGTTGTATCCTGCTTGAGATAGTGGGTCAGTGACAATGTTGTACCCTGATTGGGATAGTGGGTCAGTGTCAATGTTGAACCCTGATTGAGATAGTGGGTCAGTGTCAATGTTGTACCCTGCTTCTACAATGTTTGTCATCTCACACAAAGTGGTTTACATACTGAAGCTGTAGGGAAAATGTTGTATACAGATTTCTGTGTAAATATGAAATGTTTTTATTTACAGCTGTTGCAGGGAGCTTGGCCACATTAGTACATGATGCTGCAATGAGTCCAGTAGACGGTAAGCTAAATAATAAAAAACAGTTTATTAGATTGGCTTAGTGATATTATGTTTTGTGCTAATATTTGGAGTCTAGTGTAGACAAATTAAAAAAAAAGAAACTACTTTACTTATTTAAAATATAATGTTATTATTACAAAGCGTTTTGTGCAGAATAGAGATTTGTAGTGATGGGCTTAATATACTGCAATAATGCATAAATCTTAAACATGCAATACAAATTATAAAGCTATGTCTACATATGTGGGTCAGCAGAACAAGGACTAATATTATTTCTATGTCTGTCTATACTTTATCAATTTTCTCCTAAAATGAATGTTTGTATGAATATATGCATACTAATTAGGATATTTATGTAGAGGTCAGAGATTTATGCAGTGTAACTTTAATGCTTTTATGAAAAAAAATGTATTTACTGTTTAAAAGTATGAAAACAATTATTAACTGTCATGATAAATTTCTATGATTTGACACCACCAGTAAAAATACCAGGTATTATGGATATACATGTACCGTACTCAACCGCGTTAGTGCCAGTGTCTTCAACTCAGAAAATCATGATTTTTTAGGGG